AGGCGAAGTAGGATCATCCGTTGAGACCTTGCATTCAAATCTGTAGACTCTTACATCATCCCAAGCAGTAAGGAATATCGTGGCTTGGTAAATACCTTGTCTGGGACAGGGAACTTCCAGCGGTATTTCGAAGAAATCTGGGTGGATAAAATCACCAATGAGATTATATGCCACCTTTTTATGCCTCTATACGTTCTTTATTCGTCAATCTTGATACTTGAAAACTTTAACAAAGACCAACCACAACTAAAAGTACCGAAAGTCTTATCTTTCATGTCGCGGGGTGTGCGATAGACTTACCTCCACGTGGTGCACCCTGGGCAATGTATACTCATACGGCAAAAAAGTCTATTAACCGGCAGTTGACTTCTCACTTCAAACTACCATCATCCCACTGTATGTCATATTCGACTACTTCCACAGTACTCACCTCACCTTTTTTCTGCCCGTCTCTTTTATATCTTTGAAGCACTCTACTAATCTCCCCGCCCCTCCCTTCGAATTTTTCACCTTAATGTTCCTTCCCCTCTGTGAAACCTGAAGTCAACCAACGGGCAAATGATAACTAAAAAAACGCTTGCCATTTGATATAAATAAATAAATCTTCCGTGCCACAAAATGTGTGCGTCTTTTTTCCCAAATAGATGCTTTTGTTGTTTGAAATTTAACGAGAACCATGAAAGAATTTGAAGCCTCTTATAACATCAATGGAATTAAGAAGAGAGTTGAAGTTATGTAGGTTGTCTATTCAAAGTACCAACCATTCAACCATTCATCACCGCTATGGAGAAACACTAGAATTTCAAAAGGAAGCCATGAATGAGCACAAAGTATTGAATTGAGAATTGAACAAAATCTGACTTTCATACTTGTATGAATTCCCAAGACCACGAAAAGACAGTGAAATAATGCTTTCCCGAGCATCGAAAGTGCAGTATCGATGTCGTGTCATCAACATATTACTTCCACATTATTACCACGACATGGCAAAACCAGCATTAGTTCAATGTTTGATCCTTTATTTGGCAAATCATATTTTGCAACATCAGACACAAGAGTTCTAAAAGTGATAAATTGCCCAAATCGAGTCCATATAAAAATAGTACAATCGAGTTCAAATGGATGTGAAAAATCTCTGAAATTGTTTTGTTTAAGCTAGCCTTCGTCTTTCCTAGTACTATAGGAACATGGTAGCTATTTTGTAACCATTGGTGACTATAATTTATAATAATGATGTTATAGCAAGCCAGCCGTCAAAATAGTTCCAGAGGTAGATTTACGAATACGTACCCTCTTCTTTCTTGAAATCAACATCAATGTAACTCGGAGCTCGGAATTGTTCTGAATCGCATCTCACGTCAAAGCGTATTCTTTTCTAAAATCAACAGAGTTCAGTCTCTATAAGTTTATAAACTTACTCTAAATGAAAGTTGTTCAAATTGATTTAACATTAAGAACTTGGATGCAACTTCCGATCTGCTTTCAATGGCATCTTCTTTTCCGGATTCTACTGATGAAATGCAATAATTTGCTACCCATTTTATTGCTTCACATCTTAAGTTGTTCTTCAATGGCAACTGAAGAGTCAGGTGTCGATCATTTTCAATAGGAAGCGCCAATCTGTATGTCTCAACTGAAACAGGAGAAAAAGAGTTAGATACTTGTGGTAATTGGAATAGGATTAATTTCTAATCGCTTGCTATTGGCGCAATATTGTACTACATGAACTAGACCTCACGTGTTCTCTCTGAGGTTTTGCACGTGGTCTCCACTATGTCACAATGCAACAAACAGATTTTCGGTTTATAAACATTTCAGAAAAAATAAGTATTTCCGATGAATAACATAGCGAAAAGTGTGATATCTGCTTATGGAAGAGCGTAAAGCGATTGGAGCTTATTAGAAGGTTATTCAGATGGAAAGTATTGGGAGAAACAGATTCTCCATTTACATATTACGTTCAATTTATAAAAAAAAATGAGAAGATATTGCAATAGACAATAATCCACCTTTATATTCTACAAGGACAGCGTTGGAGAGGATTTTCAATGCATCTATACTAATTAAGATTGTATAAATTTTAATGAGAAGCAAAAGAGTTAAATCAATTAATGATTACTATTTGGTAAATCTTCTAAATTTGGGTAACGAGAATGTCCTTGAAGTTCGACTGAGAATTCATCCCTGTTTTCCTTTGAGAATATCAACCTTCCAGAATAGTTGTCAACACTGAAGGGATGAAAAGCAACCTCCAAGCTGGTCTGACTACTTTGGGAGAACTTGGCTTCCTTCGTGTGGCAAGTGAATCCTCGTAGCCGATTTGAGCATGGACTTGATTCCATAACGCGAACACTAAATACGCCTTCGTTCTTGAAGGGGTTGCATATTTGGAGAACTTTAACGACAGGTTGATAGCAGAATGTTTTGAAAGTGAAAACTTCCTAAAATTCCGAGAAACAGTATTACTTCACAATGTTGATTTTACTCCGTCTCAATCCAATAACCAAGAACACTATTGGCTATTAATTTAGCTGAACTATTCAAATCGATAAAATATCAACATCATTTTGATCTAAGTTTTAACTGCTTTTATCATAGTGAGTAGGTCATATTAATCAAATCAAATTTGCAAATTGAAGCAAATTTTATTATTATTGCAATGTAATTGAACCTCAGAGTGAATTTCTGCAGCCCTGCCGATCAGTCGAAAAGTCATTCTTAGACCCTTTGTAGCTTGAGCATCCATCTTGGACACCATAATGAGCCAAGCTTCTGTTTCACAAGCCTTTTGAACTCTAAATAACAAGGAAGCATGTTCCCTTAGAGACGGACATGAGTTTGAAGTGCTTGGCTATAACTCACAAATATCCTATTTCCAAAGTTGACCGCCCATTCGCCAATAACTCCATTTCATACGTTTGTTTCTTATTTGATTCCTTATTAAAGTAGAAGCTCTTGGCATCTTTTCCAACATAAAAACAACTATACGTCAACTTCCGATTAGTTGGATTGGAAAGTGTTAAATATTCCAGTACATAGGCATTGAGTTTTCCTAAATAACACACAATCTTTTGTTTGTCAATAAACAAAATAGCAACCTGTCAGTTTGATTTCAGACTGAATTTGATAGTCGGGAAGCGTTCGATAGAGGTTAGACAATACCAGGATCATTTGAACTTCATTCGGATTACAGATCTCCTCTGCAGTAATAGACACATCCACTTGAAGAATGCGAAAAGATTTTACAATTTGTACAGCATTGTGAAATTTGTGTTCTTGACTTTGAGGGTTTAGATTCAGTTGAAGGAAAAGTTCGTCGATTAAAAAGGGCGCGTAATTGGCAATAACTGTGACGAGAGCGAGTCCACTTGCAAAATCCTCCCCGAAATTTGTCACCTTTGGAGGATGAAGCGCATATTGCATAGGTTTCTCTGTCTGCTTATTGACTTCACATAATCGTGTCCAACTACTCTTCACGGATTTATTGACCCACTGGAGGAGCCTTGCTTCTGCTCCTTGACCGACCACTAAAGCCTAAAAGTATAAAATCGATATAATCGCGATTGGGGTGTGAGATAGACTTACCTCCACGTGGTGCAACCTGGACAACTTTTACTCATACGGCAAAAAAGTCTATTAACTGACAGTTGACCTCTGACTTCAAACTACCATGACCCCACTGTATGTCATATTTGATCCCTCTTACAGTACTCATCTAGCCTTTTTTCTGCCTTTGTGTCTGTCTGTCTGTCGCTTTGTCTGTCTCTGTGAATCGCTCTTCTTTTCCCCTGTCGAATTTTTCTCATTTTAATGTTCCTCCCTTCTGTGAACCCCGAATTCAACTAAAGGGCTAATGATAACTATAAAAATGCCTGCCATTTGAAATAAATAAATATGATCGGGTTTAATTCAATCAATTCCACTTAACCTATATATCTCATTTTGATATTCTTTTTTCCGTAATACTTGTTGAAATTGACTCGCATCGACATGTCTTGCATCAACAGCAATTGGATATCAATCGCCAGGGGCAACCCTTTTTTTTCAACTTGACCCTCCGGCCTCTGTAACCTCAAAACATGAATTTTCAAGGTCATAATAATATGATTATTTTTAAACCTACTGTAAACAAGATTTACTTCACAAAATGGTGACGTGTTTGATTTATTGATTGAATTTAAGCTCTATATTCGATATTCGTCGTTTAAATACAAATTAAGGGCATTTGCACAGCACATACTTCGTCAGTAATATTCTTCGTAGAATAGATCAATCGGCAATATGCTTAACCGCAGTTAATACTCTGACAAAATCTCCTCTAGCGAACAAGCCTTTGCCCATGAATCCCAGTTCACTGCTCGCTGAAATACAGTGTTGACGAAGAGGTGATGAGAAGTGCTCAATCATAGGAGGGAAATGCAGTGAGTCAATATAACACAGGTGTGTGGGGGAGGGTGTGTGGGGGGGGTGTGTGGGGNGAATTACATTATTTGTCTGCAGGCAGTTGGACTTTTACGAAAATAACCAAGTTTTTAGTCAAGGGCTTATTTAGTTACTTCCCTCTATATAGATGTATGTTTGTCTGTATACTGATTTGACTTCATTTGGGTTAACTGGTAGCACTAATTTTCGTTAAGGCAAAGTTTCAATGACTTCTTTGAATAGCGTTTAAGTTTCTATTCACGTACATCTTCTCACTTGCAAGTTATGTACAAAACTTACCTACATATTTATAACTAGACTGATTTAATAAGTATGTCTATTCAAAGGAATGGGAATTAGAAATGCCATTTGTATATTGGTTGACTGGGGTGTGCGATAGACTTACCTCCACGTGGTGCATCCTGGGCAACGTATACTCATATGGCAAAATGTCTATCAAACCGGCAGTTGACTTCTGACTTCAAACTACAATGGTCCCACTGAATGTCATATTCCACCGCTTTCACAGTACTCATCTTACCTTTTTTCTGCCTTTGTGCCTATCCGTCTCTTTTGCATCTGAGAATCACTCTTCTGTTTCCCCCACCCCCTCGATTTTTTTTCTCTTTGGTGTTCCTCCCCCCTGTGAAATCCGAGGTTATCTAAAGGGCTATTGGTAACTATCAAAACGCCTGCCGTTTAAAATAAATAAATATTGGTTGACTTAGTGTAATAATTATAGTATAATGTAGAAATGCTCGAAGGGTCAATGTGCTCGGTCTTTATCAAGTTAATAAAGTTGGTTGGTAGTGCATATCCTGTTTCCTGTCCAATTTTATCCGTTATTCACGATTTCGTTAGTACGTCGTATTGGGGATTGTGCCCAAGATCTCAGGAATTTTTTTTCTTAACTATGCCACTTTGTACTGTATTATGCCAATTAGCAACTAGTTGAGTTTTTTACACTTGAAAGCAGTAGAAAGTCAATCGTGCTTAAGTCTCTAGATTTGGAAGTAAGTTTATTATATAGTCAAAAACGTTAGGAAAATGGGATTTCTAAGGCTTAATTCCTCTCCTTCATAGTGAAAGGAAAATCCATCTCATGAGTTCGCTGTGCTAATCCATTCCAATGAATTCAGGAGCTTTTTTGACTTTCGAATTTAACGCGGTGACAGGAGTGAGACCACCTCGTCTATTTATATTATCTGGTTGTTTATTCGAAATGTCGTCATCTAATCAGCGCGCCATTTCATGTACCATCTTATCGTTGTTATACCCCACCTTTCCTAGAATATACATTTAACTTTATTTTTGCGTGTTGTTTCTTTCAATGGTTTTTTAAACGTATCATTACATCACAATAAGTTTGTCAGTTTAAAAAATAATCGCTTAATTGGATTAGTCCCAGAGAATGGAATCCCTTTATCATTCATTTGCTCCCTTGCTACATATATATTGTAGCTATTATTTATGAGTAATGGACGAATTCCTGTAAAATTATTCCAAGTTTACAGTTGGATGTCCTGAATGAAGAATTATCAGCTTCAATTTCAGGTCCCTGTTTAAAGTTAACAACTTCTCACTTAATTTGAGATCGCTGAATTCTAGTTGAATTCTGTGGTGGTAATAATCAGCCGTACTCTTACTTATTTCGATCACCAAGCGATTCAGTTTCAGGATGTCTTCCGTGCTGTGCTATTCATGAGCAAGCTTTGGACGATTTTGGCAAACTCGGTCAATCTGGGGGGCTGATCACAATCCCTCACCCAACTTGTGCCGATAAGCTTAGAATCCTGGTGGTCGTGAACCTACCGCTATAAATGAAATTACCTATAATTTTCTTCTCATTTCAGTGTTCGAGAGTGCTTGAAACACGTCCTAAATCCTGAAAGTCCACCACCGTGGGATAGGGAGAAGGCCTACACTACCGACCTGAAAGATATTGAGGTACTCAACTCTCTTTTTCCTTCAGGCAATTAGTATCTCTGCGAATTTCACTTATCGGTGCATTCCGCTTCACTTTAGGTGTATTTTGAAAGCATTGAAGGTGGTAAAATGATTAAAGTACCAATTGCTCGAACTCTCACGGAATTGACCCGACTTCCTGGGTAAGTTTTTTTTAATCCTTAAAAGAAGAGCTTTCATCAATCTTACTCTACTTGTTTGGTCTTTTTTCTTTCCTATAGATTCTACGTCAGAAGAGATCTCGTGGTTTCGCTCTTTGTGGTATCGAAACGTTCCAAGAATTTCCACAAGAAATGGTTGGAGGAAATTTGAATCTGATTTTCCCTTTTGATGCACACTTCTCTGTGAATTATGTTTTCTCTTGTGTCTTGAAATTTATATGGAATAAACTAGTTTGCTCTCATTACTCTTCTTTTTTTCGGGGCGGTTGCTTCGTGTATTTCCTTTAACTTATTTAATTAGTATATTTGCTACCTTTGGTCCTTATTAGCTGCCATGTTCGTCCCAAAACGAAATAGGAATGTAAAGCAGATTGAGATGTCGATTTGGATGCTGGAGGTTGAGCTAAATCTAAGAGGGTATTGCTGGACCAATCAAAACCGGAGAAATGCTTCGGTTTGGCATCGAACAGTGGGCTTCATTTATTTTTTTGTATATCGGAGCATAAATGCTGCCAAAAACTAGGGCAAATCAAAATATGTAGGAAGCGGTGAAAACTTTTCCTGCCGGGGTGTGCGATAGACTTATCTCTCCACGTGGCGCACCTTGGGCAACGTTTACTCATATGGCAAGCAAGTCTATTAACCGGCCGTGGACTTCTGACTTTAAACTACAATGGCCCCACTGTATGTCATATTCCACCACTTTCACAGTACTCATCCTACCTTTCCTCTGCCCTTGTCTCTTTTACTTTATTGAAACACTCTTCTGTCAACTTACGGGCTAAGGATAACAATCAGAACGCCTGCTATTTGATATACATACATACTTTGCTCTCCCACCCCCCTCAACGCAAGACCACTTTTGAACCTCTGAGACCTTACGTACTGATTAATTGGAAGTAGAACAAGCGTGTGAAAAAAAAATAAGTTATTACTAAAGTACACCATGAAGAGCGATTTACAGATGTAAAAGAGGCAGACAGACACAAAGGTAGAGGGAAAGGCAAGATGAGTGCTGTTGAAGGGGTTGAATATGACAAGCAGTCGGACTATGGTAGTTTGAAGTCAGAAGTCAACTGCCGGTTAATAGACTTTTTTGCCGTATGAGTATACGTTGACCAGGATGCACCACGTTGAGGTAAGTCTATCGCACACCCCCTAATTATCAAGATAACTATTGCCATTTCTAGTTGAACTGAAGATAGTTCATCAGACATTAGTCCCTTTTTTGCGCTCATTGTTATTCTGCCCTCCGTCCTAGTTTATTCAATCAACAGTGCTGAAAGGGCCTTCATCTCCAAGCAAAAAAATAAAACTATATAACGCATAAATACATATTTCATGACTTTTCTCTGCCTTTGTGTCTGTCTGTCTCTNTGTATGTCATATTCCACCACTTTCACAGTACTCATCCTACCTTTCCTCTGCCCTTGTCTCTTTTACTTTATTGAAACACTCTTCTGTCAACTTACGGGCTAAGGATAACAATCAGAACGCCTGCTATTTGATATACATACATACTTTGCTCTCCCACCCCCTCTCAACGCAAGACCACTTTTGAACCTCTGAGACCTTACGTACTGATTAATTGGAAGTAGAACAAGCGTGTGAAAAAAAATAAGTTATTACTAAAGTACACCACTTAGATGAGGCCACCTAATGTGAAAGGCCTTAATATTCATAAAATGCACGAAAGATGGAGGTGGGCAGCAAGAAATGAAAGATTTCAAGCAGTGAAAGGAGGCAGCCATTTTCTTCATGTTCGTCAATCTCCATCAAGGGGGCGATGGAAATCGCTGAACATGTTGGCCAGATAATCCAGCGTCCGCAGTGATCACCTAGTTCGCCTTCCTCATTGGTGCAGTCTGCAAGTAGGTATGCGTGCTTTAATTTCACCTTGAAAGACTGGATGTCAGCTTATAACGTGTGTGGGAATTAGGCAAGCTCATTTGGAGAAAATTTATTTATTTTAAATGGCAAGCGTTATGATAGGTATCATTAGCCCTTTAGTTGACTTCAGGCTTCACAGAGGGAAGGGTCATCAAAGTAGCAGACAGTCGAGGAAGGGGAGCAGAAGAGCGATTTACAGATGTGAAAGAGGCAGACAGACACAAAGGTAGAGGGAAAGGCAAGATGAGTGCTGTTGAAGGGGTTGAATATGACAAGCAGTCGGACTATGGTAGTTTGAAGTCAGAAGTCAACTGCCGGTTAATAGACTTTTTTGCCGTATGAGTATACGTTGACCAGGATGCACCACNCTCATTGTTATTCTGCCCTCCGTCCTAGTTTATTCAATCAACAGTGCTGAAAGGGCCTTCATCTCCAAGCAAAAAAATAAAACTATATAACGCATAAATACATATTTCATGACTTTTCTCTGCCTTTGTGTCTGTCTGTCTCTTTTGCATCTGTGAATCACTCTTCTCTTCCCCCTGTCGACTTTTTTCACTTTGATGCTCCTCCTTCTCTGTGAAGCCCGAAGTCAACTAAAGGGCTAATGATAACTATCAAAACGCCTGCCATTTGTTATAAATAATACTTTGCAAGTTGGGGGCCTACTTTCAGTAACTGTAGAAATAGAGACGTCCAAGCAACTTTTGAAACTCTTTCAAATGTAATTTTATCCATAGGAGTAGCCGCTGGGAATCGATACACTGTTTCTCCATGGTCAGAGGGTGAAAAGATCACTGGAGTGATAACCTTAGTCTCCGATATTGATTCATTAGGCATGTTCAATTTGAAATCTCCTTCTAATCCACCTGGACGTCCACACTGAATCCACTCTTTGTAGTCTTCATAGGCCATGAGAAATTCTGGTAGGACGTGACCAACACAGCCTCCTTGACTAAACATATTGTGAGAGAAATTTGTGAAAAATTATTATTTTTTTTTGAAATTACTAATTTCTTCACATGGACTAACCTCTCCGCAAAGCAGATCAAGGCTGCAAGATGATTATAAATCAGTCCAATGGAAAAAGTCGTATTTTCGATAGGTAGGGCTATCGATCTTGGAATTCCTGGCAGGTTCCAGATTCCAGCCAAATGAGCTAAGCATTCCACCAGAATACCAAGACTATGCTCGACTTTCTCTTTTCTATGTACACCGGCTTTCAGTTTTGCGTCTTGAAGTGACAGACACCTAAAAGGGTATGATGAAAATTACAAAATATTAGACATTAGAAAAACTAGTTTATACATGCCTTTGGAAATCATTTGGAAAGTTTAATCTGTGAACTTCTCCTGGAAATCCGTGATGACGCAACCAATTCTCAATTATAACCAGATGTTGCACATCGGATCTCTGATGATAGTCTAGTAAGCTCTTTATGCCATTGGAATCCTTATCAGCAAGGTGGTTGAAATGAATGAAACTCAATAGACTGTCGTCAATTGAAAACACGAAAGGTATGCAACAACTCAAAATTTCGTTATCCGCTTCAAAATTACGAGATTTTGCGGTGAAAAGAAGACAAGGTGGTTGAGGACGGTTTGAAAGTGCAAATTGATTATTTGATTGAATTTCTATAATGACCCTTAGGTTTTGAGTAGTACTACTCTTTATGAACACTTCAATAAAAGAAAAAAAGTAAAGTTAAGTACTAACAAAACCAGATTATAACAAAATATCACCAGTTTTACGTTTTCCTTCAGGCAGCTTCACACAAAATGGAACTTCGGTGGATTCTGGTTTCTTCCATGAAATGAAATTGACGTTTTCCAAAGCAAAATCTTCCTCCAGCTGATCGAGAGTCAGATTTACCTCAAGTTCGTGTGATTTAAGAACTGGTAGGGGAGGCAGAAGTATTTGTGATGGAGAGCACTTCAATTTGGCCTCAACTAGTTTTATATGAATCGTTAAGTAGGTTGCGACCGATTGACCGATATCATTAACAACAGTTATTGGAATATTTGCAGTCTGGCTGTATGCTTTCTCTACCAAGCGAATAGCACGTAACTAGTTAAGTACCTGGTTTTAAACTGATCCAAATATTGCACGAGTCACCACAGTGTGCCAAAATTCCGCTATTTTTATTGAAAGTTAGCAAATTCGATAAACAAAGCTTTGACGTATCGATTTTCCATTGCAGAGCGTTAGGCGTACAATTCTCTATTTTCAAATTCTATAATAAATACGAAGAAAAACGAATTAAAATATTCAAGTAATTTTGAGAAAAGTATCGATTGTTTATATATAAATAGCCCTGTCCAATCTGAATGTCTGAATTCATACGTCGAAAATCGATAGAAAGCTCAGATTTAAAAGCCACAGGAATATTAGACAGGACGATCCGCTACCTAGGGTCAACAACTTCAAAAATAAGTTTTCGAAACAAAGTTTCTTGCCTTGGGCTTCGTGATTAGATTAAGCGATCATTTTGATAAGTGGTCTCAATGTGAACCCGCCAATATGCGTCACCTCTAAACACGTTTAACTAGTCATGCAGAAATAAAAAAATAAATAATGGTTTAAAGTTCTCTCTGTGTCTTAATTTGTTATTACAAAAGTTACATAGAAAATATGATGAAGAAGGATATTTATGTCTTTTTTTCGATTCCCATTCAGATTGTAATGTCATATGAACTTTATAAATTGAAATTTCAAAGTGAAACGATAGGTGACGTTATTGTGAGTACAACGAATCTTGGCCCAAAGGGTGCTGGGTAATAGGGGAACGTCCCAACTATCTGCTAAATATTTTTTCGAATCGTATCGAATGCCTAGTTGCAACGGGGTATCGATTTATTAGAAAACAAATTATATGTTCCTTTAATGAGCCCAATCATCGATCAGTATTGATTTTTAGCACTCTTCAGTTCTAGAACCACGCAGTCATATTAATTTACTCAAATTTTCCCAGAGCATTGAGGGCTGTACTCTGAACTATGAGCAATAAATGACGCACATACTACTCATCATTTGGCTTAAGATGGGCAAAATTACCTAATAATATTTAAACTGAAGATATACCATGAAGAATTGGTTATCTGTAATCGATAAGTGACTGGGAATCGGAAATAAACACAACCTAGATCTTTCCGCAAAAAAATGGCACACAAATTTCGAACTTTACCTGTGTCAGTATTCCCGTCGCATTATTTGACATTTGATAAATATTAAAAATAATCTTCCTAGGGTAGATATTAACTAGTGGTGGAATAGCAATTTCCGAAATCCTGCAAAATCTCTGTTCAATCTTCCTTCCGTTAATGATTAGATGGGGATAAAAGTCGTAACGGAAGGCCTAAAATAATGAAATAAATCATCGCAATACCGAACTGTCTACTAAGTTACTATTCACATTATAGCACAACACTTATTTGGAGCCTAAAGTTGACAACTTAGCGTTTTTGGCCCCAAATCCCGGAAGACAGCGCATTCCAGTACACAATTTGTTATTCGTCAGTCAATCAGTGTTTTTTTCAGTTTGTTCTCTCTATCAGTGGGACGTAAGTGGTTTACCTTGCTATGTAACTTCCCCAGTTTGAATGTCTTGAGCATATTTAATTTTAGGAATACGTCAAGTTATTAATTTATCCCAATTGCTTGAAATGGGTACCAAAAGTCTATATAAACTATACTAATCTTAAAAGGGGTGTGCGATAGACTTACTTCTTCGTGGTGCAACATGGGCGACGTATACGCATACGGCAAAAAGTCCATTAAATGACAGTTGACTTCTGACTTCAAACTACCATCATCCCACTGTATGTCATAATCGACTACTTCCACAGTACTCACCTCACATTTTTCCTACCTTTGTGTCTGCCTCTTTTACATCTTTGAAACACTCTCCCCATCCCCTCTTGACTTTTTTCACTCTGATGTTCCTCCTCCTCTCTGTGAAGCCTGAAGTCAACTAAAGGGCTAATGGTGACAATTAAGACGCCTGCCATTTGATATAAACAAATAAATACTAATCTTAAAAGATCGCTATGGTTTTAACATGCACTCACTTTCTTTGGTTCGAATACGAGTAAACAAATTGCTGATGATAATGGTTTCAGGAAAGTTCCATCTTTTTTAACACCATAGAAATCGATATGGTTATTGAAATCGAATTCAATGTGGGCCGGAACGGATGATTGGTTCCTTACTGTAACTTTGGCGAATGCCTTTTCTCCAGTGGGAATCCCATTCCCACCTGATTTTTCCTCACAATTATCAAGTGTGAAATGAATTGTTTCTGGGAAGATATCTACGTTTGGAAAGACACAATTTCCCTGAACTAGCATTTGCATAACTTCTTTGTCAGCATGCTTTATTGAAATAGGCACTTGGAAGTAGCCCGTATTTCGGCTGTTGACAGTAATCTATTTTGTGGAAAAATATATTTAATTATTTTTCTCTAGCAGGAAAAAAAGCTTTTTCAGTTTAAAGAATGGGGAGGGGAAGCGTGCGTATTTGAACAAGAAATAAATAAAGAAATTCCCACATAAGATTTTAACCAATTGCAAGCGAGTTTATGCTCACTTAAACGCTATTGGTTAACGCGCATTGCCGTCCCCCCTCTCCCCCTCCCAGCCTCCAATATTTTGCCATCTGGATACAAAGATAAGTAATTTTATTAATCCTACCTGGGTGTCAAGGTGTAATTGTTTGCGACTTTTCGTGACAAAGAAATACTTTTTTAAAATTTTTTGAGGTACATTTTTTAACTTTGTAAATTTGGGAACTATGATCTCTTTTTTATTTCATTTGGTTGAATGATAACTAATAATATGAATAAGATAGTCTAATCACAAAAACGACCAATCATATTTCGCCTAAAAGTGCATCTACTTTGAGTATTTTCAAACGCACAATTTCAAAATTTACCGGATGGGTTCTCACCTAATCCGATTGATCCATGCTGCATTCATTAACATATTAGATCACTTGAAAATGCATATTCTGTTCGTCATCTTGAATGTAGAAGATTTATTCATTTTTTATTAGGAAAAAGGGACACAGTTTTTCTTTTTTCAATATCATGGTTAATATTGACTTCAAAATTGTGTCAAATACCGGATTTGCTAATATATTTATCCATTTGTGAAGGAATTTAACGAGATTATCAACATCTCGTTAGCTCTTTACATTTATTCAATGATCAACAGGCAACATTAGGAAGATTAATCTTGGTGTTCTTTAAAAAAGGAATAATCAAGCAAATGTGAAAAGGCTTAAAGTCTATTGCATTTATGATTGAGGAAAGGGGTGTGCGATAGACTTACCTCCACTTGGTGCACCCTGGGCAACGTATACTCATACGGCAAAAAGTCTATTAACTAACAGTTGACTTCTGACTTCAAACTACATTGACCCCATTTTAGCTAAGAGTAGCATCTAACAAAATGGAGCAAATCAGACACGCTCTTGCTCTAAATGAGTTGAAGTATTCTCAGGATATAGAGAGGCATTCCATAAGAGTTTCAATAATGTGGTCAGTGAAAAATCTGCGTAATTTGACGGATATCCAAGCTGAGTTTCTAACGGATGTAACATCTATATCTTTCACAATTTGAGTCTATCAAAATTATAAAGTCAGATATTAAATAAGATTGGGCGGTATATAAAGGCTGTCGAAAAGACAATTAAAAAATCTCAATCGTATACCTCAAAACTAGCTTCTTCCTGACTTCTAATTTCCACTGGTGTGTTTCCAAAAGTCAATTGCACAGAGTTCAATTCACCAATCGCACAAATTTTCACAAAAGCGGGACCATTTCCAACATTCTTAAGACTAATGTACTTTTGCACATCAAGACCCCAAGGCACATCCCCTAATTTGATTCGTTTTGAAGAGGTGATTAGCTTTGGCTGTGGAAGACGAATTTGAACTTCAAGTTGGCTTGGAATTCCCTTTATAGAGATTGGGCCTTCAACACATGTTGACAATACAAAAAGAGCCTTTTTCGTGGGAAGTTTTCCACATTTTAACAAGAACTTGTAGGAAACCTCGCAATCCTGATTAGTATTTGCCATTAAAGTACCTTAAAATGATTATAAATGATAAGATTTAACATAATATATTATTATTATTTTGCATGAGCATTAAGTAAGTAGGAAACAAACCAGATTCTGGGTAGATCTCAAACCCTTCATTTACACTCTCTGTGTTCCATTTAAACGTCATTGGTACGTTCAAATGATTTCTCAGTCTAACAAAATCTCGCAAGCCGTCGGTGGATACTATACCACTACCTCCATTAATCCATTTCAAATTAATTTCCCTTGGGTTCAAGTCTAGATGTGGTAGTTCAACGATGCCTTTCAGTGTAATGGAGTCGAATGGCTTTTCGTCAACTTGAATATTTAAAATTCTAAAAGCAAATACATTAATTAGTTAATTTATATTAATTCTTTATAGTCGCCTTTTGTAGTTTAAGTACGACTATGTTGCACATGTCTCTCCTAACACTATTCCTCATTTTGTCTCATTGCATTAATGTCTACATCAGAAACACTGTGAAGCACGAGCGTATCCTCTCTTGATTTGACAAAATCTACTAGAGGAAGTAAAAGACCAACTTTGTTGCAATTGTTGGCGATAAAGTTATTTTCTTATCTCACCACCACATCGAAAGCTTCTCATTCCCTCGACTGCATTTAAAATGGTCGTTTTTCTCATCACCTGATAATTTCGAATGCGCCGCTTAATGATTTATCGCAAATATCAAATTAAAACCCAGTACTACACATTACATAAATAACTTAATATTACATATGGTATATTTTTTTAATTTTTATAATCATAAGCCAATTGAAACAATGCTCCGCATGCCACGCTGATCTCTTCTCAGATAAGAACAAAAATGTGGCAAAATACTTAACTAACTCACCCACTAAAATCTCCTTGAGACACGGGCTTAATGGTAACATCGAAATCCGTGGAGGTACGTGGATGGATCCTCTTTTGGGATTGACTGTTAATTATCGTATGGGGATTGCTGGGGACCACTCTTACAGAAACCACCTTGTTAGAATTATTTTTCATTGATAATTTTTTCAAAGCAAATGTGTTCAAACAAACCCTTCCAAAATCAATAACTGTAGGGTCTTGAAGAAGTCAATTACTACATATATTAGGTTTCATCTTACAAATTAGATTATAAGTGCCTTCATCGTCCAATTTTGCTCTAAATAGAATTTTCAAAATGCTTTAACCAATCTTACTGCGTAGAATTTTCCTCATCAAGTAATGTATCAAAATTAACGAACTCGGTAAGTGTTTCACTTTGCGTGGAAACAGGAAATAGTGTCCCACTTCCCGAAAGTTTTATCAATTTGGTTTTCAAGACTTTTAAAGTTCTCCCGAAAACAGATAATTTTGTATGAGATGTTATATGTCCTAAAATGTGTTCGAATTTCTCGAAATCTTTTACCCAAATGGCGTGGAGTAAAGTGGATTAAGATAAGCTGTGAAGAGTTCGATTCGACAATGCCTTGAAATGGTTCCATATTGAAATGAGCAACCTTCGAGAATTTGAACTTCACTGGGAGATTAGATGACATGTTCATTAAAATAAGGCGCTTTGTAAATCTTTCTTGAACAACACATGGTCCAAAATCAATTTTTTCGAAACATCGAGTGCAAGATAATGGGGCTTCCAGCTTAAGGTCAACTTTTAGTTGTTCATAAGTTGCAATAAATGGAAATTCCAGCTTTTTAACATCAAATATATCCTTTTCATCTGGAATATTTATAGACCTAAATTCCAGCACGTACTTAAATTTCCAATTACGATTTCAATTAAACCAGTCATATTAGTCGTATTAAAAGAACCCGAAAAAAAATCGCTGCTTTTCTTTGACCGAATAGGAGAAAAGTTGAATTCAAGGGCAATATGCTCATCAGGGTTTAGAAATCCATAATTCGGATGTGCACTCACATCTGTTTGAATCAAAGTATCTAATTTCTAAAATTTTTCAATTATAAAAGTTTCCACTTCAAAATTGCATTACATGATTATGAATGGATATTCGAATGACAAAATCCAGAGAATAGCGCGAATTATTATGCAAAACCTTTGTTATTTTGGATGTTTCGTTAAGAAATATAATTGGAAAATTAAAAGCATATGATAATGAATTAAGCTCTGTGATGGAGATGATATTTTCGATGGCAAATTTCATGATTTTAAATCAAAGGGAAATGAAATATTTTCGTAATCTAAAAGAATAGGCGACCAATAGCAAAAGATTATGTTATCGTTATTCGATTAAGTAATATTAACTATAATCAAAGCATAACCACCAAGAGTTAATTTTTAGTGCGCTCAAACTAGCTACACAATTTGGTATCTATTTAGCCCAAGGTTACAATTTAATTGAGCAAACAAAGTCTATGTTAACAGAAATCGAGATTCTAGGTGAAGCAGGTAACTGCTATTTCATGTGTCATTTAGGTTTGCAAATTTAGTTTTGAATATCATTAGACAATTATCCGTTTATCGGAAACAATAAATCATAAAAAATGAAATTTCTGAGAATCGTCAAAACCAAATGAACACAACAAAATATTCCCATTTTCATTATATAGTTTAGGCAACTTTTCTTATAAAATCACTTCGCTAGTTTAAAAGTTTGTATTTAAAATTAAATTTAATATTTACTATATGAGAGACGAAATAAAGCTGACAGTTATTGGTTATAAGGGCAAAGAAAACCGTTTTTTCAACTTTAATAACTCTTTCGATGAGTTATTTTAGACACAACTTTATTTTGAAAATGGCCATTTAAGATTTAGTGTAATACAGATTGACTTACAATTTTATTTCCGTTATCGCAAATTACGACGTTCAATTTTTAACTTGCATGCAGATAAACCTATGATTTTGGTAAAAATTTGAAAATATATAAAATTTTTTAACTATTGCAAATAATATAAGAAGTTCTACATTATATAATGTGCCAATTTATTAATAATCACAAGTATTCTACGTAAAATGCTTAACATCAAGACTTTGAAGAGCTCTTCTTTAAATATAAATCATTTTGTAATATAATTTAGTATTTTCATATACTTTTATTCAATTAAAAACTTATCCTCTTTGTGCTTTGTTTAAAAGATTTTCTGGATTGGCGCGTTCTATTGAATTATAGGAGTTGTTTAACTTATATGTAACATCGAGCCTAATTTGATGTTACGATCTCAAAATAAAGTTAATGGAATCGGCTAATTCGGACGGAGTTATAAACACAGAACTTAGGAAAAATGATGAAGCTGAGAATGATATTCACCCTCCATTATCTGTTTGCTGCTCAGAAAAATCCTACGGCCAGTGTTCGCCTCCTGTCTGCTATGTTGAACTAGCTGGACATAAATCAACAAAAGTAATAGATTTATTTCTAATATTGTTTTATAACATCTTTTCTTTTTGCATTCCTTGAAAATATAATTAGTACGTATCAGTTTTTTATGCTTTTCAATATTTATGCTTAATGCTTGTTTTTATCTAAAGGACCAACAGTCTTTGGCTGATATTGATCCTGAATTTCCTCCCGGAGAAGGGACATCTAGTGCGACAGTTTTAGATACCGTTGATGGCCCCTCTTCAACGCCTAAATCGGGATTAATTGTCAAAGATGGCGATAACGGAGAATGTGCTTCATTGATTCCCACTCCTCCTCTATCTATAGTTCCCTCCTCCATTGTTCAGGATCAGGGAAATGCGACAACTACATCTGTTCCTGGTCCTCTGGTTGACGCCTCTCTTGAGCCTTTGTCTGAGGGTCGTCTTGTGATTGTTGAAAAGGAATCAGTTGATGAGGAGGATGTTGATGAGCGTCCTCTTGTGGTCGATCTCGGGGATTCACCTAGACCTGCTACCCGTAAGCACCGATTCTAAATTTGTTTTTATGGTCGAATCAGTGCAAATTTGCGATCGTTTATTGACAAATCCAGTAACGCAAAATAATAGTTGCTTCATATATTTTACAAAAAATAATTTATCCGTGTCTTCGAATGAAAGTTTCGCATTTTTAAGTAGCTCGTGTTCACGTTTGTAGACACTTGGACATTTAGATCTGTAATTTTTTTATTCCCGACCATTTACACCAACCATGAGATTACCACTGTGACTTTGCTTACCTCTTTTTTGAAATGTTTAAATCGATTTCAATTTTTACTTACGTTGATGATCCAGAAATTATTTTACTGGTTGATGGAGTGGCTGGAGGTTGAAGACTTTTCTTTCCCTGTTTGTGCACATGCTTTCCTCGCCAGTGGGGAGGGGTGGGGGGGGGGGGGGGGGGGGGGGGGTGGAGATTGGAGGGGATGGAAGGGTGTTTCATTCAGTTGTACCTACCAACTAAATGTGTATTGAATTTGGATCTGCTATGGATACTTACTTAAATTGGTATCGTTAAGCAATTTTTTGCATGAGATCACATATGTTTCTAAGTGTCTTTTTTGAATTTGTTGTTTTGCCTATATTGGTGATTCTCATTTTTTTTCTTTGTAGCCGAGTTTCATAAACCGATATTCATATATCGGATAGATCATAAAGTGAAAGCAAGTCAGTTGGCCTCTTTCTTAAATCCAATTATAACCCTAAAATAGTCAAGCACTTCAATAATTTAAATGTAAGGTGCATCGAAGATATTAAGGTAACAAATCATAAGAAATGTGTTTTCCAATAGAAATATTTCCGCCGTAACAATGCAAAGGACCGAGTAGTTAAGTTAAAATAGAAGAATTTTATTCATTATTGACTCTCTACTATTTTGATTTAGCCACAGAAGAGAAAATGTCCGAAGCGAAAGCTGGTGGTGGAGTATTTAGAAAGCCTTCTATTCCAGCCTCTAAGATCTCACTTAATGATATGCCTTCACCACATTCTCAATCGCAGTCTCCCAAAATTCCACCACCACCACCACCACCAGTTACCGTAACCACAGCCACTACTAAGGCCATTCCATCCTCGGTTTCAACTCCAGTGACAAAGTCGTCATCATATTCCACTTCTACTATTATCCCGGTCACTTCTTCTCAGCCTACTTCTATGTCGGTAACCACACCGAATCCTATGCCTTCGACGACGTCTACATCTTCTCATTCTCATCCACCTCCATTGCCTCCTACTCTCCGTGTACAAAAACCCATTCGTCCTTTTATCCCCCCAACAACGCATTTCATCCCACCACCACCGCAATTGTGAGTTTTTTCCGTTCTCTTTAATGAAATCATTGCCTAAATTCTCATTTTTACTTAATGTTTTTTAACGTCATCCCTATCGAACATACTATTTTTGGAATCAGAAGTGATCGTGGAGTCGGAAGAAACACTTGCAATACATTGTATTGATGCCAAACTCGCGTAGTTTAATACTAGAATAGGTCTTTCAGTTTAGGATTTAAGTAATTTTTCACTTTCTCAATTAAGAACTTCTTTAATTCAGTTTATGAAACGTTGGAGGTGCTGCTGATTCTTGAGTCATCAATTGCCTTTTGTGTCACGTGCCATGCTTAGGAAAACTGTGCCTTTCCTTGGATTATCGGTATTTTTTATTAGAGTCAGCATCTTTTCCTTATTGTATGAAGTTTGTTCAGTTTTACATCTTCCGTGTATTGCCTTTTCGGTTGTGGCTATTCAGATATTGAAAGTATTGTACGCAAAATAACGTAACTATCAAAATTGACTGCTTGTCGACTGTTTGTACTTCACATTTATCCCATTACGCCACAATTTGTTTCCAACTGTGAAGCTTGTTAGGCTAAGCCATATTATTCTGTTCATTATTATCGCCTCAGATAGGGGAGAATCTGGCTTTTTGAATTTTAGCAGCTCAAAGTACACTCATGCTAGGAGTTTGGAATTCACTGATTAATGAGTTTATGTGCGTTAGTAAAGATGGACCGAAAAGATGCTCAAGTTTCAAAGCGGGGGAGGACGAAGACACTTCCTCCTTTTCCCACATTCCTCCCACTCAGCTTAAATTAGTTGAAAGTGGAGGAGAGTACGCATCCACTTCCTATTGGTCGTTGGATTTCCTTGACCCTGTGTAGTTTTGTACTTTAATTTTCCCATTTTATATGATTTAATTATGCCCAAATAAACTCATTACCACGCCAGTTAAAGTAAGCCCAGGGATGAGAGCTCTAACGAGTTTGAAAGTTTCCCCACATGGATATCATAGGAATGAATAAAGTTAGCTGGTATGCGCAAGGGCGCGTGTATCATTGGGGATATAAATTATAGGCAATAGTGAATAATAATAGCGTACTGCAAAAATAATAGCCAGAATGGTTGCTAACCAGTACTGAATTTGACAGTTCTCCGTAGTAATTTAAACTTCCGTCGTGGCAAAACTGTGTTTCCCTCCAGTTCAGCATGAGTTGTTCATTCGATTTTTGTCGATGATGCTGTTGTTAACATTCACGTCAGCAAAGTCTGCCGTTAACCCATCAGTTCCAACTGATGTGCACTCTCGTCCATGCGCACTGATGGATTTTCCATCTCAGTATAACATCTTAATACTGGCTGTCATTGTAGTCAATATCGGTCCTTGTGAAATAGGGTGAAATGCCCGTCTTAAAAGTCGTGTTGGTTTCATAATTGACCCTAAATAAGGTATATCCAGCTGATTTGGCCTTAAGCTCTGTTTAGGAGCATTTTTGTCTGCCGCGTCGATAATATTTGTGTAAATAATTTGATAGTTCACGTTTTATTGTTTCATTTTGCAGACTAGAGATTAGCAATAGTCACTCGTCGACCTCAGTCGCCTTGTCATCTCAATCGACTTCACAATTTCTTGCCTCCACTTCCTCCCTCACTGGCACATCTACAACATTTCGACTCCAGGCGTCCCAGTTGTCTCATTCGAGCACTCAACAGCATCCTCTACCACTACCGCAGCCAACGAATATCTCTGGACCAACAGCAATACACCAACAGCCGAATGGCGCTAACAACAACAACAACAATGTCCAGTTTATGTCTGTTCTTGCACCATCTCCCTCTCAGGGTCCAGGTGGTGTCCAACATCCGCCCATTCAGCTCTTCAATCTTGCACCCATGCCCGGCTATCTAAGTGAGTCTTGTCTCTTCTTTTTGTTCCCTCACTTATCGTTATCATTGTCTTTTTCGCCATGCAAAATCGTCACTTTGCTATTTCAACGACTTGCCGCTAATTTTATATTCTCAACATATCGTCTATAGCATTATGCTTTAAGTCTGTTCCAATCCACTTATTTACACTTTCGTCGATGCCTTGTTGTTTCAGCGATTTGTCTTGACATTTTATTAAAACTACTATAACTAAATCATGCGAATGACACCGAGAATTACGAAGAATGTATATTTTTTTAATTGTATTTACAGTACCTAGAGTTTGACCCTTATTTGTGTCTTCTTGGGTTCCGAAAGTGAGTTCACAGAGTTATTAGGTTGGCAACTAAGTCATTGGCGATTTCAAATAAGAAGGCAAATTCGGAATTTTTGTTTAAAAATATAACTTTATTCAATTAGATATTGGCCGTTCTTGTCGATGACCTTTTTCCATCGTTCTGGCAGAGTAAAAATTCCCCGTTCGTAAAATGTCTGGTCTTTGCTATTAAAAAACTGAATTAGGTGTGATCCGACATCATCCGCGTTGTTAAAAATTTCACCATTTAAAGAGTTTTGCATGGAACGAAACAAATGGTTATCTGAAGGCGCAAGGTCAGGGCTATATGGTGGGTGTGACAAAACATCCCAAGCCAGTTCCAATAATTTTTGCCGAGTAACCAAAGATGTGTGGGGCCTTGCGTTATCATGATGGAAAACAACACCCGATTTGATAATGCTGGCCGCTTATCTTCAATTGCATCCTTCAGTTTTTCGAGTTGTTCAACATACACATTTGAATTTATCGTTTGGTTCTGCGGCATGAGTTCAAAATACAAAATTCCTTTGTGATCCCACCAGACTGACAGCATAATCTTATTTGGTGAATCTCTGCTTTTGATACTGTTTGGGCTGGTTGATCTTGCTTCAACCATGATCTCTTGCGAGTAACATTGTTACAAACTGTCCACTTTTCGTCGCCAGTAACTAGGTTCCTCAGAAACGGATCATTCTCATTGCGTTTCAGTAGCGGCGAATCACAGATGCTAATCCGTTGCGTCAAATGAATTTCCTTTAACTGCTGGTGAGGGATCCGTAAATCAAGTTTCTTGACATAATCAAGGGTTTTTCATTTTTTTCAATGCATGTATGCGACACATTGAGCTTCTCTGCAATATCTCGTGTTGTGCTGTGACGATTTGAATCGATAATGGCCTTGGTATGGGTTTCATCCGCTTCGACTGGGCGACCAGATCGTTGTGAATTTTTCAGTGAAAAATCACCGGAACGAAATCTTTCAAACAAATTTCGACACTGCCATTCTTTTAAGGCTTCATCTCCATATACGGCACATAACTTCTTTTGTGCTTGCGATGCGTTCTTGCCTTTTCGGAAGTAACACAATAAAATGTGTCGGAAGAGCACGTCCTGTTCTTTCATTTTTAAATTGGAATAAAAACAAAACTAAAGAACTAAACAAAAAAATTTTTTTACTAATTAACCTAGAAGCCCATACAGTAAGAAAAAAATATAGGTTAGATGCTCTGGCCACGTTAACAAAACAAAAGAAAGTATAGAGTGAATCTGTCAACAAAAACGGCAATGACTTAGTTGCCAACCCAATATAATCAGTGCGCAAAACTTTAAAGCAATATTTGTCAATTTGTCTGGCCCCTGGAAGGTGCGCCCTATTTTTCTCTTCCGTCTCTTTCATCTGGCACTTGACCTTTTGTTTCTTGTATTAAGAGGTGGACGGTTGATTAAGATTAATTGATATCCTAGAAGTTCCCCCTCCCCTTACATCTCCACTTTCCTTCCTGGAAGTTGAAGTTCCACCAGTCCCAATTCGGCGTTCTTTTCTTTGTATCACTCAAATTCCAATCTAATTGAAAAGCTTCCTTAAATTTTATAGAATTTGCATTAATGCGGTAAAAGTTGATCAAAGTTTTGGAAAGCATTGTAGATGTGCATAAAATGCTATTTGGACTGCATCAAATTTCTTTCCCAAATCGTCTTTTAATGCCAGGTTATTGCTTGTCCATTCCCTCCCCCCCCCCTCCCCCCTTCAATCATGAGGAAGTGGGTCATAGAGTGTTTGCTCACCTGATACGTACGCGCCTTCTTGGTATGCGTTGTTTTATCAAATTCCCTCCCTTATGTTTGCCTCACTTTCACCTCTTATTAGTTGCAAAAGTTTATACTGCAAATATTAACTCAAATGGCCTGTGTACGTTTGAAGTATATCAACCCACATTGCCTCAAAGACGAGCAATATTGATAAGCTAAAGCTGAAAGGCAGAATTCACCCTCTCGCTTATCTCTCCTGAAAGAATGATGGTTTGAGCATTAAATTACGCCAGGGAGGGAGAGAGGGAGGGAGGGAGGGAAATTGACCATTTCTTATGGGGAAAACTTTGTTAAAGTAGGCATCCTGAGGGGATCGAGTTATCTTACCTAATTACGCCTTCAATTAACGTTTTGGACAGCAGTGCACATTGGTAGTGGTTCCGTCAGTAAATTAACCTAAAGCCTAGAAAACCCTTTACGGTGTTAGTTATTTTACTAAAGCCTAACACGATTCTATCAACCTTTTCCCAATTAATGAGATGAGCAGGTGAGTTGGTAAATGTGTATTGGCTAGAGGTGATGGAATGAGAGGGAAAGGAGGTAGGTACTAAGAGAGACGGTATTGGGAATTGGAAGAGGAGTAAACCTGCCAGTTCTTAGTGAGTTTCGGCGCTTTATTATAAAATTTAACTCAAAAAGATGATTGTCAAGGGCTACTGGACATGCTCTAGCATAAAAATCAACAATGTTTGTGCATGGAAGATTCGTCCTCTCCCAACTTCAGGGGTTTCCTATTGCAAACAGTTGGAGGAAGACCGATTCCGGTGGGTGGATAGTTGTTTTAAGAGTATAGGCATACTTTCTGCAGGGTAATCATGATTTTTGCTTCCTGTGGAATGGGAAAATGCTTTGTTTTGCATAACTTACTCCGGTGTCTTTTCTGTTCATCTCGTACTCCCGTGTTCTACTCCCCCTCCACCCTCCTATTCCCCTTTATGTTCTGTTCTATTGTTTCCCTTTTGAGTGTCTATAATTTTTTGCCTCATTCATTGTTATAACCAGGTTCATATTTGAATTTCCTCTTAGTATTAAGCTCTATTCCTTATAGTTAGATAATTCTTGGAAGAATTACAACAAGAGAATCCATAGAGGCGATCCTCTCAGTGGTTCATAGTACGCACAACACGCTTTGATTTCATGCGTTTGTTTTGCTTATGCATAGGTAGTCTCAATGACGTGAAACTGTATGATGGGAAATTGAACGCCCCAAATTTCTGCTCCCCCTACCCCCTCCCCCTCCCCCTAGCCTTATTCCCAGATTTTCTTTTCATGCAATATTTAAATGCATGAGGATTAGGTACATTTGTCAATTTGCAACTCTTAACTCAATATTTTTGAACGTCAACCCATTTTCATAACATTGTTTGGTGCTTTCGATTAGTTATTCTCTATACTGCTCGCAGTATCTTTCTACAAACAATAATGCCCTAGACCAATTCACTGTACGTGCATCCACAAACTCGATGTGCATAAAGTTAGTAGTCGACAAAGTGCTTGAGCACATCTAACAAATGCATACAATTGTTGGGGTGTCTTAAATAGACTACTGGTTATGATTTTGTGAGAATTTAAGTATTCATCTCGTACTCTATGTCCTATGTTTAAGCCGGAGAAGGGGGATATTAAATTGTGATAAACGGATTTTTTCTTCACCTTTTCTCCAGATCCAAGTTCAGGTCTTCTCTTTCATTCAATACCATCTGCATTAGGGGGCGGTGCGAACGGAAGTGGAAATCAGCCAGGAACCTTCCATTTTGCCCCACCACCGCCTCCACCGCCACCAACTCTCTTTTCTTCTCACCACCACCATCAACAACAAACAGTCTCTCATCACCAGCCTCCTCTGCCCCAGCAGACGAATTTTGCGACTAGACCGAATACTCCTTCCTCTATGGCTGCACCTGCTTCTCTGCCCCCTCCTCCACCACTTGCTCCTGCTCCAGGAATCTCTTCGCTCCATTCAAGGTCTGCTGGTGGTAATAGTGTTCCTGTAAGTGTCATCTAATCTCACTACTTAGACTAGTCAGCTGTTATCAGAAGTCGATATGCATGAAAGGCATGGTGGCTAATGTTCTTTGCTACGAAATCAGTGATCATTGGCTCTGTGTTCATTAATTAGATCTACTTAACTAAAGGTTGAAGGTAATTCGCTATCTCACTCAATTGAAGTTTTCAACACTTTCTTCTTCTTAGTAGGGTTGGATAGTTATTTACAGTGATATTTATGTAATTACGTCTTTGTAAATTTCTCTTTTGGTCTTTCAAGATGGCTGGAGTCTTCTTTCCCGATATGAACTCCTGGATGGCATCGATGGCAGGCACCCAGGGTATTATGCCACCCCTCCAATCTATATTTCCATGCCAACAGCCACCGGTATCGATCTCAGGGTCAGGAGAACCGCCAACCTTCTCATTCGCCAACACTACTACCTCTGCTTCCACAGCTGCAACCACAGTAAACACATTAGCATTGACAACCCCGTCAACTTCTTCAAACCAACTCTCATCACCTGGTCCCAATCCTCAACCTCCCCATCCTCCTCCTCCTGCTTCTACTCCGATCTCCATCGCAATGGTTATTTCTTAACCATTTTATATAACAAAAAAGAGGAAACAATTTGACCGAAATTTGACAGAAGCACAATTTAGACGAATAAATGTGTGCAAATTAATATGCTCATGAGAAGATTTGATAGTGATTGGAGTTGCGAAATATCTAACTTGTTCATTTATACATACATGTAACTATGAAATATATGGAATGTTGAAGAGATTGACTGCTGCTGCATCTCTTTTACAATCCTTGCTGGCAACCTTAATATAAACATAAAACAAGTGAAAAATAAATAATCCCAGTTACACTCATTTCAAATTGGAAGTAAAATGCAAATTTTTTAAGCAGGTTCTCACTTAGTGCCTTCTCCATTGGTATTTCAATTCTCCCCTCCCCTCCAATGGGAAAAACAATTATTCCTCCAAATTTAATCTTGGAGAAGCATTTGGCTTCAGGCAGGAGTAGAGGAGAGAACACGGTGAGGTGAAATTCAGAAGATCATGTGGAAGTTGTGGATCTTATTCACTTTGACCTTCTTCCTGTGCACATATTTGGCATTTTTAAATCGAATAACTGGCAAAGCAATACTAACAAATATAATTTCAACATTGCGATATCTACTTGTGTTCACTTGAGGTGACTTTAACCATTGATGTTACCGTAAAGTGACTTAATTCACGTTTTTAATCTCTAGACACAAATGAGTGAAAAGGCACCAATTTCAATAGTAGTTAATGGCAACACACGCGAAGCACTGAGTACATCAACAATATCAGCAATCACACCATCTACTTCCTCCAGTTTGTCCATTTCTACTCGTCGCTGGAGGCCTTCATTGACATCGCCATCGGGAAAGAAGACTCCTTCAGACCAGACTGTTTCTACAACGGAGAAACCTTCTGTTTCAAAGGAGAACACCGTAGCTGAGCATAAGTCGGTTTCAGAACATTCCGCTTCTGGAACCGATACCACGATTTCGATGACCTTCTCAGACTCTGAAAAGGTTGCTACAATGCTGGAACAACGCAAAAAAGAAGAGGAAAAGAACTCTTCTCCTGAATCGAAGGAAGAATTGGAGACCGACAGGTCGAACGAGGATCCAGAAAAGGCGTCGAAAAAGGAGAAAGTCTTCCCAAAGGGAGAGAAGTCAAAACCTGTCGAAACATCGATAAGGAAAAACTCAATTTCTTCGACTTCAAAGGTCTCAAAAGGCAGCAATCATGCGTCGAAGAAGAAGAAGTCGTTACGCCAGTCATCGGCACCGAGTGTGCTGACCCCGTCCCAGTCGAACACACCTTCAACAATTCTTCCACAGCGCAAAATCATCTCTCACTTCATTGATGGCCACGTGCTCTATGAGAGCAATCTACCTTTTCCGGCAAGTCACTTCAATATGCCTGACCACTTAACTCTGTTGTAAGTGTTTATACGCCGCCAGTGTAGTAATGGCCAATTCGGCGGGTTAAAGGGTCAGAAGTGCGACATATATTGTATTGAGCGTGGTCGATGATCATCAGAATTCTAATTTTTCCTCATTTTACTTTCAAACGATTGTTAGTTGTGACTTCTTGAAATTCATCGAAATAACCGTTCGATTGCTGTGTTAAGTGCTTTCAGCCTTTTAAATGTGCAGCCGTAATACGTAGCGGCGGTTGACTTCATGTTTATCCAGTAAAACATCAATTTCATTTACATCACGCAGAAACACTGGGAGAAATGAATTATTAATACTTGATTTAGTAAAGACGAATCGCACTTTGCTTTTCGTATAATTATTTTGTCGATCTCTCATTGATTAACAGATAATGTTGTTCTATTTCAACTCTCCAGGTTCGGAATGCAACATCATTTGTGGAGTCATTTTTGCAAAAATGCAACGGAGGTAGTAAGCGCCGAGAAGATGTTGCTATTGACGCTACCTCCGTGACTGTTTCCTCTTCTACAGAGTCTATTTACGCGACCACCACCACCACAACAACTGTCGTCAACAGCAATGAGAGGGAAGAGGAANCGAGGTACCTCGGGGTGTGCCCCATACGCTGACGCCTTTGAGATAAATGAGGTGGACGGTGAAGCTCTTGTACTTCTCTCTTCATCAACATCTAATTTCATTGCGCCTCCTCTTTCAATGAAAATTGGTCATGCTCTCAAACTAGCAAACCGAGTCAAGACTCTCACTTCCTCTTCTACCTCTTATTCTGATACGATTGTAGGCTGAGACGATTCTTTTATTCCTCTTCATGTACAAAATAAATTACTTTTCCCTCCATTTTCCTGAATTTAAAATTCCTTATTTCCTGCAGTTTTTTGATGTATCGATGTTTGTGACATAGTAATGCAGAAATGTTTTTGTCATAAATTAATCCCCACTCCAATCTTGTGTGTCTATTTCTTTTTTCCCCTCCTCTCCTCTCCTCTCCCCTATTCTTTCTTCTATGTTCAATATGAAATAATGGAAAAAGAAGTAACTATTTAAAACCATTGTGCTTTTTGTCAGATGGTGTTCAGGGATAGTTGGTGGCACCTGTCTCTGTTAGTAGACTCGTGTCCTAAAAGGCAACATGGATGGTAGCGCCTAAGTGGGAATGTCCATTTGTTAATGGTTCATTATGGAAGAGTACGTCCAGATCCATGCTAAGACGATAATTGGAGTACAATTCCTTGATTTGTGCAACGCGAGTGATCTTCAGTGAGCCTTGATGCAAGAAAAACACATCTTTTAATGTAGCAGCTTAACGCTCTTAATTGTTAGAATAAAGAATATCAATGAATCGATGATAGTTTATTCAAATTAATTAAAAAAATAAGATACTATTTACGAAGGATGGGGTGTGCGATAGACTTACCTCCACGTGGTGCACCCTGGGCAACGTATATTCATACGGCAAAAAAGTCTATTAACCGGCAGTTGACTTCTGACTTCAAACTACTATCACCCCACTGTTTGTCATAGTTGACTACTTTCACAGTACTCACCCCGCCTTTATTCTACCTTTTCTACCTTCGTCTCTGAAACACTCTTCTGTCTCCTCCCCCCCCCCTTCTCGACGTTTTATTCACTTTGATGTCCCTTCCCCTCTGCGAAGCCTGAAGTCAACTAAAGGGCTAATGATAACCATCAAAACGCCTGCCATTTGATATAAATAAATAAATTTACGAAGGATATGAAAAGAGTTTAAAAATTATGCATCAGACAACGAAGCTTGAACAAATTTACAATGCAAACATCCTGTTACATGAATTCATTCGCCTCCGTCTGCTCATTAGTTCGTGGTATTGCCATGATCAAACTTTCATTCACAATTATGACAATCAGTAGTTAATTCAATAAAGCATTTAATGTGTTACAAGGCAGATAAGTTGTTAAGAAGACCAATTTTGAGGGAAATGTGATATTTAAAGTCCATATTAAAGTTAATTTTTGTTATCTGTTACAATTATCTGACTTGTTCATTTAATGAATTTTCATCAAAATTACTTTCAGAATAATAAACACAATGGCCATAGCAAAATCGGTTTTTAAGAAATTTTTAACAACAATGCAAATTCAATAATGTTCATAGTTTTTTCTGTCCTTATTCTATTATAATTGATGGATTTATTTAGGCGTTTTTATTTGGATTTTCTTAAAGCTAATTTGAATTTCTTTTTTGTTCTAATAATCATAAATTAGATCCCAATCAACAAGAGCCAAGGTCATTCGATTTTTGGCGCTTTATTAAATTCTTATGTCGTCCATGTCCTCAACGATGACGATGAATGTGATTTTTTGCTTACATTTTTTGTCTCGAACGGGTTTTTTTCAAGATTTAAAGTTTATCCAACCACATATCTCCATAGTGCTGGGAATGAAGGTGAAATGCCTTTATATGAAATTTGCGCAGGCAATGTGCAGGACAGATGATTTGTGTTATCCAATTCTACCAAGGTTGAATACATCGATAACTAAACCATCTTGAAATTATACTCTTTATGGAACATCTACCAATTGACAGATGGAGAGATTTAATGATTTAGTAAATGGACATCAAAAAACCGGTTAAGAATTGACAAAATAGGGGGCGAGATATACGAGAAGTACACCAGGGGAAGAATTAGTGGGAAATTTAAATTAAATCACTAAACTACAGGAAACACAGCATGACAAATATTCCAACTCAACACATCTACGTCATATTTTAGTTAACTGCTATATCAAGGGCATTAAACAATAATCCAAAATGACTTAGACCAGACGACATTGATGACCTTGCCATACTGTAGACTTTAGCGGAAAAAGGAAAAAAGTCCAAGCCTGCATGGTTTTTATTGCACCCTAGTTTTGGCAGTAATTTCATTGAAATCACATGCACGTTGCTCTAATTCATTGGTTTGAGCTATCTTCAGTTGGTAAGAAGTTGAGAAAAGTATACAATCAGCTTCTAAAAGGCGGAGAATAATGATTGTAAGATGGGGTGTGCAATAGACTTACCTCCACGTGGTGCACCCTGGGCAACGTACCCTCATACGGCAAAAAAGTCTATTAACCGGTAGTCGACTTCTCACTTCAAGCTACCAGGTCTTGACTGCTTGTCATATTCGACTACTACTTTCACAGTACTCATCTTACCTTTTTCTCTACCCTTGTGTCTGTCTGCCTCTTTTACATCTGTGAATCGCTCTTCTGTTCATCACCCCTCGATTTTCTGCTACTTTGATATTCCTCCCTCTCTGTTAAGCTCGAAGTCAACTAAATGGCTAATGAAATAAATGGCCATTTGAAATAAATGAATGAAATGATTGCAAGTCTAATACCTTATTTACACATTTGACATGAAGATTGCTAAAACAGCATACGCTAAAGGTTAAAATATGATAGCACTAGAAAATGGTTTGCGTTGGAGAAATTGAAAATATGAAATATGAAATATTCAACACTACTCCAGTCCGTCATGTCTCCATATTTTCACCCAGTTTACGCCCATAGGCAGAAACCTGTATTTTAATTGAAAAAAGCTTTATATTGAGCCTTCAAAATCAATGGACGTAGGTGTAGACGTTTCCTTTTCCCCACGACCTCCACATGCCAATACAATTGAAAGAGAGTGTGAAAAGTTCATTGAGAATCGAGTGGAAAAGTTCGAAGTCAAATACTTCCATGAATGTGAAATAGGAGCTGTTTATGGGGCTGACCAAGTGGTGTAGAATTCACTTAAGTTGAAAATAAATTAATGTGGTACACATTAATGATTTTGTTTTATCATTATTACACACGCAAAAAATGATTTAGTCGCTTCGCAAATGCAATGGGCGTTGAAGTCTCCTAATACCACAGTTTTGTGTGATGTTGAGAAGTTCAAAGTTGGGACTACTCTGGGGTGGATTATCGATTGCGTATATCTTGAAGTGGTTTTGACATTTCCAATTATTTTATCTGATTATTTCGCAAATGTCTTGCGTCGAGTCCATACTCTTGATTAGATTGTAATGTGATGTGAAGCCTTCTTTTACTCCAGTCAGAATTCCACCTACAACTTGCCGGTATTTAGGTAGGAGGTATAAGGTGTAACCATGGAGTTGGTAGTATTTCAGTTTGTCATCCAAAAGGTTTGCTTCCATAATTGTGAACAGTTTGTCATCCAAAAGGTTTGCTTCCATAATTGTGAAAATGTCTACATCACAGGTTTGCAGCCTTTTCTGGATTTGAATAATTTTGTCTCGTGACATCCCTCCAGCATTCCACTGAAGGATCTCTAGAAGTTGGGATTCGCCCTTATGAGGGCGATTTCCCTTGTAGCTTTGTTTCAGGCTAATCATAGTAAATTAAAGTCAACTGCCGGTTGATGGACTTTTTTGCCGTATGAATAGACGTTGTCCAGGGTGCACCACGTGGAGGTAAGTCTATCGCTCTTCCCCTGTTTTATCACTATTATACAAGCAAAAAATGAATTTGCTCTGAATGATCGCATTGTATTTTTTCTTGCGGCTGGTATTAATCTTTCATGAAAGGCAATTGAGGAAACGCGGATTGAGTTGGTCTAATTAACTCAAGCCTACAATTAATTATTGAGGTGAGAAGAAAATGCCTCCATGTTAAATAGTAAATTCTTAAATTGTAGTTGGACCCATTGAGGGCAGAGATGAGCACTCAGAGTGATATCGATAGCCTCTCACCGATTATTCCACCGACGTTCCAGTTATCTACAAAGCCTGTTATACTTAGTTACAAAGTGTAAATTAGCTCTACTGATATCTATAAAGTAAAACTTTTGTGCCATGAAACGAAATTTATCTGGGACCATTTATAAGTCCCAACAATTTATTGTAAAATTGGCTAAAATAAGAAGATCAAGTAATTAGATGGGAGTTGGTGCATCTAATAAATAAAATTGACATGGTGTGTTCGAATCTTAACTTTTTCTACCATTTTTCTTCTAGCTTGTTCATTGTGATTTGGCAGCGTGCGATAGGCCTATCTCCACGTGGTGCACCCTAGGCAACGTATACTCATATCGAAAAATGTCTACTAACCGGCAGTTGATTTCTGACTTCAAACTACCATGACCCCACTCTATGTTATTTTCCTCCACTTCCACAGTACTTACCTTATCTTTTCTCGGCCTTTGTGTCTGTCTGTCTGTCTGTCTCTTTCAACTCTGAATCATTCTTCTGTACCCCGTTTCGAATTTTGCTCACTTTGATATTTCTCCCCTCAGCGAAGGGCTAAGTCAGCGAAAGAGCTAATGATAACCATTAAAACGCCTGCCATTTGAAATAATCAAATGAATAAGTATTTCAATTAATGAGACGACACATTTCAATTCACTCACTGGCATTGAAAGCAGGTGCAAATGTATGACTTATTCTGCACCAAAGTGCGAATTCAAGCCTGTTGAGCCTCATTAGTAAAGCGTGAATTGTAATCTTGCTAGATTGCATGCAATTTTGAAATGTAGCTGAAGAGCATTTGTTTATTCCGCCGCACATAAAGTTATCAGAAGAAGGAATAATAAAATTTTAAAATAAAGTAGTTGGTTCGAACAGAACAGTGGAATCGTGTGAACGTTTTGATGTGGAATTGGAAATTTCATTTAGTAAACATTCTAATCTTCAAATATTGTGCAAGCGAACCCAGCAAATTCTTTATGAAATGCAGTTTAAGTAACTCTAACTTGAATAACAAAGATTTTTAATTTCCTAAACGCAGTTGCTTCGAAACGATATGTAATGCTTTTGATT